TACATATATGAATTTTCATATAATTTTAACACAGTTTTAAATCAATTTATAGAGACAGGAACATCAGATAAAACTTTCATGGGTCGCGATCAAGAGCTAAAGATATTAGCTTTTAGCCTATACCTCCTTTCATTTTTCCTTTACTGTCCCTTTAAGTGAGAATGTGCTTAAAACTGGAAACAAATAAAAACAAAGAAAATTATAAAAGTGTAAGTCAAATTGATATTGTCCAATATTCTTCAAAATAAATAAGAAGATGGGGATCATATACGGAAAAGACGAGGAGGATAGGGAGGAGCGAGTAGGGGGGCGGGGGGGTAAAATTAACAGAAAATATAACTTTGTGAGAAGTTTGCACTGTATATTTTCTGTCCTAAGTCTGAGGAAAGAAAACCAGTTCTTCTTGTTCAACCGATCCATTCAGAGCAATATATATATATAAACTACAATAGCTAAAAGCTGTCGGTTATAAGAAAAGTTCCATCTCACCAAGCTATTGTAAAGCTATTTAGTATTTTGTTCACTTTCCTTCACAGTTAATCATTATTGGTATTATAATTTTTACAATCTTTCACTGTAATTGACAATTATCTGAAACATATCCGGGTTAAAACGGAGTTTAACAACAGATCTGCTGCTTTCCTCCCTAGGGGCTCATAATACCACTAATTGTGCAAATACTGAGAATCTGGAAACACAAATTAAGTACTGAAATCTGGGAGTGTAAGTGAAAATTCAAATATCCAGGATATTCTCCCAAAATTCATATATCCAAGTTATTATCCAAAAATTTAAATATCCGAGTTATTATCCAAGAATTCAAATATCCGAGTTATTATCCAAAAATTCAAATATCCGAGTTATTATCCAAAAATTTAAATATCCGAGTTATTATCCAAAAATTTAAATATCCGAAAATTAAAATATCCGAGTTATTATCCAAGAATTCAAATATCCGAGTTATTTTCCTAAAATCAAATATCCGAATTATTATAGGAGATTTCAAATATCCGAGAATTCTTATATCCGAGTTATTATCCAAAAATTTAAATATCCGAGTTATTATCCAGAAATTTAAATATCCGAGTTATTATCCAAAAATTTAAATATCCGAAAATTCGAATATCCGAAATTATCTAAAACTTCAAAAATCTGAGTATTATCCAAAAACTCATATATCCGAATTATTATCGGAGATTTCAAATATCCGAGTTATTAACCGAGAATTCCTATATCCAAGTTATTTTCCAAAATGCAAGTATCCGAGTCATTATCTAAAATTTTAAATATCCGATTTAATATCCAAGAATTAAAATATCCGATTTAATATCCAAGAATTAAAATATCCGAGTTGTTATCCAAGAATTCAAATATCCGAGTTGTTATCCAAGAATTCAAATATCCGAGTTGTTATCCAAGAATTCAAATATCCGAGTTATAAATAACCGATAATTCAAATATCCGAGTTATTATACGAGAATTCAAATATCCGAGTTATTATACAAGAATTCAAATATCTGAGTTAATATCCGAGAATTCAAATATCTGAGTTATTATACGAGAATTCAAATATCCGAGTAAATATTCCGAATATGTCCGAAAAAGTTTGTAGAATGTAAAATATGAAATTTCTTTCAAACATTGCATGCGGTGGAGACTGGAGAATGGAGATTCAGCAAAAGATTTAAACATGACATTCTTTTAAAAATAGTTGGTTTTAACATGGACCCGGGAACCAAATTAATGAATGGGAGAGGACGTTGAACTACCTAACGCCGCTTCGAATCCTGAATCACCGACTCAAATCCTCCAGCAAAATCTGTCTATAGCTCATTGTAAAGTCTGTAGAAACTTGTAAAGTTTTCTAGTTCTTTAAGATACAGGAAGAAGAATGGATATAATTTTAGAATAAATTTAGGACAATATAGTTTCAACCTTTTCTAATTGAAAGTACTACCTATGTTGCTTCATCTCAGCTCATCTACAGAATTTAATAAAAAGAATAAAATGTTTGTAAATAAAAAAAGCCCTATTGAACGAAATTTCTTTTTTAATTTTGATAAGATTTCAAAGAAATCATGAGTCTTTGTCACAAACTCAGATTTATATATTTGAAATCCATGTCGGAGAAATTGGATATTCCAAACTTTAAATTCTGCTAGATGTTTTAAAATTCAGAGGTTTACATTATAAACTTGCAAAGAAATATGAAGACATACAGTATAGGTTTACATTTAGGTATGGAATGTTTATATTTTTCTGTTGTTAACGACGGAGAAACAACATCAAACTATTAAAAAGAAAGTTCTTGAAAAATCGAAACTTTATATTAAAATACGATGTATCTAGTGGGTTTTAAATTTTCTAATCTATATATAATAAAACAAGACATATAGTATATATGTTCCCTGTACCCGGCCAAACGGCTGGACCGAATGGGCTAACATTTTTGAGGGAACTTATGGGTACCCTGGGGGTTACATAGAATGAACAAATTTTAAAAATGACTTTTTACAATTTTTTTGATTTAATTCCACAGGCCCTTCAACTAATATTTAATAAAACAAATAAAATAAAATACACACTTGGGAAAAACTTAAAAAAGCTGTTTTTCACTAAAACTAACATATTATATTATGTAACATAACTTTGATTGTTTTTTTAACTAACAGAGTTCCTTACTTTTAAAACCTTAAAAACATAACGCAAAACAATACAAAAAATTTAATAATTAACAACCCTATGCTTAATCAAAAATCATACTTTTATCTTTAATCCTTTATTTAAATAAAAGATCAAATTAATTGCATTTTTGATAAATCTTATTTTTCAATATGTTAGGCTGCCTAGGATGGGCGTTTTCTCTAGAATATTTAGGGGTTAGTATCCTGGTTTTGGGTAAAACCTTCAAAAACTCCTTAAAAATAGTTTGAGGAAAAGCATCTGCATTTACGTCTGTTTTATTTTTCTAGATTTAAACTCATCTATACAGTGAGAACCAGAAAACTCCGGAATATGAAGATGAAATGAAATCAATACTTTTTTATATTGTTAAAAAGCAAATAGTTTTTCAGGTAACTTATTAAATTACAATTTTTTAAGTGAAATGGGTCTGTTTTTACTACACAATTGCTTAGTTTAGGTTTATCGGATTATCCAATGATATAATTTTAGCCTAAAAGTCGTCTTCCTCTTCCAGAGTTTTCTGATTCTTATTGAATGCATTTATGTTTATAATTTGAAATTATGAAACAACTTAATTTCCTTCTTTTCGGGATCTATTTCCTATCCTGCTTAGACCAGACATATCTTATTTTCCAACATAGAAGATAGAAGATAGAAGATGGAAGATGGAAGATGGAAGATGAAAGATGGAAGATAGAAGATAGAAGATGGAAGATGAAAGATGGAAGATAGAAGATAGAAGATGGAAGATGGAAGATGAAAGATGGAAGATGAAAGATGGAAGATGAAAGATGGAAGATGAAAGATGAAAGATGGAAGATGGATGATGGAATATGAAAGATGGAAAATAGAAGATAGAAGATGAAGGATGGAAGATGGAAGATGGAAGATAAAAGATGAAAGATAAAAGATGGATGATAAAATATGGAAGATGGAAGATAGAAGATGGAAGATGGAAGATAGAAGATGGAAGATAAAAGATAAAAGATGGAAGATGAAAGATGGAAGATGGAAGATGGAAGATGAAATATGAATAATGGAAGATGGAAGATGAAAGATGGAAGATGAAAGATGTAAGATGGATTAAAGATATAAGATGTATAACGGAAGATGGAAGATGAAAGATTGAAGATGAAAGATTGAATATGGAAAATTGAATATGAACAATGCAAGATGAAAGACAAAAGATGGACTATGGGCTATCAAGGATGGAAGATGAAACAAAATATGAAGATGTACAATGGGAAAAATGTATGAAAAAAATGTTTCTTTTTGAAATTTGAATAATGGAATAAATATATTGTTTGATCTGTTCACAGAGGATATGTATCTTCATGGTAAGATGATTATTTTATGCTTTCTTCTTTCTATTCTTGTATATCCATTATATATTAATAAACCATGTTGTGTTACAAAAGATGAAAAATAATAAAGAATATTTAGAACACATCGTTGGAGACCAAAAATGTTGCTAGAGTAATATAAGGAAACAATTACACTTTTACAATTTTTTAATGAAATTTTGCAACCCCCTCTCTTGATATTTTTTATAAGACCACTCCCTCAAAACAATTAAACAGTTAGTTTATATAGGTTGGTTACTTAAAACTTTATTAAACATTTAGATCTGGGATCTTTTGTGTTGCCGATCCCAGATCAGTTGTTTAATCCCGATCAGTTGTTTAATACCGATCGCTTGAACATGCAATCCCGATCACCCCTGATTAACCAGAGTGCGCAGAATTCGGTTTCTTCTATTTGAAATCAAACGTATTTTTGTCTATAATTCTACAATTTGTTTATTCTATACTTTTTCATTCAAAATGCATATGCCGACAAAAAAGTATCCAAGACAAAAGGCTAAAAAATTATGTTTAATGGGTCAAATTGTGATCGAAAGTCACAGCTTTCTGGAATATTGACAGAACCGTTAAATCCACGTGCCATCGCTGAATCTGTATTATCAATAATCTATGACTATATCTAATAAGTAACTATATGGAACCAGATGTTAATCTGTAATGATTGGTTCATTGACTTCTACTGCATACATTTTCTCATTAGACACTCCATAATCTAGTTCCTGTACACTCTAAACTAGTTCCTGTACACTCTAAACTAGTTCCTGTACACTCTAAACTAGTTCCTGTACACTCTAAACTAGTTCCTGTACACTCTAAACTAGTTCCTGTACACTCTAAACTAGTTCCTGTACACTCTAAACTAGTTCCTGTACAATCTAAACTAGTTCCTGTTCACTGTAAACTAGTTCCTGTACACTGTAAACTAGTTTCTGTACACTGTAAACTAGTTCCAGTAAACTCTACACTTGAATCTGTACACTGTAAACTAGTTCCTGTACACTCTATAATAGTTCCTGTACACTCTAAACTAGTTCCTGTACACTCTAGACTAGTTCCTGTACACTCTAAACTAGTTCCTGTAAACTGTAAACTAGTTCCTGTACGCTCTAAACTAGTTTCTGTACAATGTAAGCTAGTTCCTGTACACTCTATACTAGTTCCTGTACACTTTAAACTAATTTCTGTACACTCTAAACTAGTTCCTGTACATTGTAAGCTAGTTCCTGTAATCTCTAAACTAGTTCCTGTATACTGTAAACTAATTCCTGTACACTCTAAACTAGTTCCTGTACACTGTAAACTAGTTCCTGTACACTGTAAACTAGTTCCTATGCACTCTAAACTTGTTTCTGTACACTGTAAACTAGTTTCTGTGCACTGTAAACTAGTTCCTGTGCACTGTAAACAAGTATATGTACACTGTAAACTAGTTCCTGTACACTCTAAGCTAGTTCCTGTACAGTTTAAACTAGTTCCTGTACACTCTAAACTAGTTCCTGTACACTCTAAACTAGTTCCTGTACACTCTAAACTAGTTCCTGTACACTC